GCCGACCCCGCAGCAGCAGCAGCAGCAGCAGCAGCAGCAGCAGCGGGGCCCAAGGCAGCAGGCGGGCGCGTGCTGGTGCACTGCGCCAAAGGCATCAGCCGCAGCGCATGCATCATTTTGGCTTATTTGCTTTTTCGAAAAAGTTTGCGACTCGAAGATGCTGTTGCTTTTCTCTGCAAAAAGAGACCCGTATACCCTAATGTAGGGTTTCAGGTGAGGGTTTGGGCTTCCCGGCCAGGGTTTAGGGTTTAGGGTTTAGGGTTTGCGGGTTGGGGCTTCCCGGGGGCCCGCCGTCGAGGGTTTGGGGTTTGCGAGCAAAACCCGCACTCTGCTGCTGACCTGGTCCTCAAAGACATCAGGGTTTAGGGTTTAGGGTCTACGGTCTAGGGTCTAGGGTTTAGGGTTTAGAAGCGTAGCATTCAGCCCAAGCCCTAGCCCTCGCCCCGCCCTGAAGCCTAAACCCTCACAGAGACACACCGCTTCTGTCTCTTTACTTGTATTCTAAACTTTGCTGCTGCTGCTGCTGCTGCTGCTGCTGCTGCTGCTCAGGTTCAGCTGCAGTATCTGCAGGACAGAATGGAAGAAGTGCGGCCTGCACTGCCGCACTCAGTGGAGCCCGAGGAGCAGCAGCAGCAGCAGCAGCAGCAGCAGCAAAAGGGAGCAGCAGCAGGAGCAGCAGCAGCATATGCCTTTGACGCCACTGTGTCCATAGAAGAAAGCGAACCAGACTTGTTCAGAAGGGACCCAGACGCCCGGAACCGTGAGTCAGCCAACCTCTAAACCCTAAATTAGGGTTTAGGGTTTAGGGTCTAGGGTTTAGAGTGTAGGGTTTACGGGTCCCCGTGCACGGCGAACCCCAGAGGCTTGGGTCCGCTTGCTTCAAGGCCAAGGGTTTAGAGCTGAGACCATAGGGTCTAGAGCTTAGGGTTTAGGGTTTAGGGTTTAGGGTTTAGGGTTTAGGGTTTTGTGTGTTTAGGCCTGCGGGCGTTCGTCGCGTCCTGCAGCTACGAATTGACGGAGGAGAGTTTGGCGCAGCTTGTGACGGTTTGTCTCCTTTTGTCTCTTTTTATTTTATTTATTTATCATTTATCTTATTATTTATTTTATTTATTTATTTAATTTAGTTTATTTGTTCATTTCATTCTGTTTCTTTTTATTGTCTCTTTTTGTCTCCTTTTGGAGTCTCTTTGTGTCCTTTCTTTGTTCCTTTTTTGTTTCCTTTTTGTTTTTTTATTTTCTTTTTCTCTTTCCTTTATTTGATTTCATTTCCATTTATTAATGTCTTCAATTTCTTTTTGTCTCCTCTTAATTTCTTTTGTCTCCCGTCTCTCTTGACCAAACGCTTGCCCCCCGCTGCCGCCGCTGCTGCTGCTGCTGCTGCTGCTGCTGCTGCTGCTG